AGGGGGAGGAGGGAGCGGGGTGACAGCCTTTCTCTTACAGCGGCTTTGGTGTCACCACCCTGAGTCCTGAGCAGAGCCAGGGCCTGGCCTCAGTCCTCTTGTTGGGCCTCTGCTCTGGAGAGCCGAGCTCGCTCTAGGCCGGGGGCATCGGGGGCAGGGCGGGGCGTCTGAGCCCTGTCACTTGGTGGTCATCTGCGCCATCCCGCCATCCTGGAGCTGACCCCTGCGGCCTAGGCTCTGCCTTCACCTTAAAGGGGCCCTGTCTCCTGGCCTCATCACGTGGTGCCGCATCCCAACCCCTGCTGCAGGACGCTCCCAGCCAACTGCCTGCACGACTCCCGCTCAGCTTTTCAGGTGCCACTTAATTCTTTCCTGAGAACCCTTGCCCTTGTTCTCCCGCTTCTCTGGCTGCGACGCCTCTTGGCCCCCTCCCTCTCCTCTCCTGCAAGCCTGTCTGACGGGGGGCACACGCAGCCCAGTGGTGTCTGGATCCCTCCCCACCCCACCGAGGCCCGTCCTCTCCTGCCTCCCATCCTGCCCTGACTTCACATTTCTCTCCCTCTCCTGTCTTATCGCTGGACCACAGAAATAGCAGCCAAAAGTGAGCCAGAATCTGAAACAAAGTTCAGATCTACAGCTGTTGAGCTCAAAATCAGTCTAGTCCCCACCCAGACGTGCTTCGGCTGAGCTCTGTGGGGGTGCAGCTCCCTTCCCTCAGCGGCAGTGAGGTGGGTTTTGTGTTTGACTGGAGACCAGGATGGAACGTGGGGGTTGAGCTACTCACGAAGATGATGGGAGGGTCCACCGGGCCACCTCCACAGTCGTCCGTGATGGCGCGCCACCCTGCTTCCGGCTCTGGGGAGCCCCTGTGATCGCTGGGCCCTGCAGCTGGAAGCCACCTTCCCTCACCTGGGTTCAAGGTAGTAAATTAACTCTGTTAAGGCATCCCAGGGACACTCACGTTGTTTCATTCACGAAGAGCGTCTATAGCATCTGTGATTTCTGAGTAAAAACCAAGAGATGGTGACACAGACACCAGGAGCTTCAGTGAGCCCCGCCCAGTCTGGCAGCCTGCCTCCCACTCAGCCCCTCGTCCTGCGCGGCCGCCAGGAGCCCGATGCTGTCCAGGGCGCCCGGGGCTGCCACTCACTCGGTACGTGCAGCGGAGACAGGGTGCCTTGACTCACGGCCTGGGCTTTGGGACAGTCCTGGATGAACAGGGCGGCTGGATCACGTGCGGACGTGGAGAGGGAGCTGACCTTGGGCTGCGCAGGCTACTTTAAACATTTGACTCACCCACAAAAACGCGTATGTGGTGCTCGTCACTTCAGCAGCATGCGGGCTACAGCTGGAACAACACAGAGGAACCAGCACGGCCCCTGCGCGAGGATGACGTGCAAATTCATGGTGTGCTCCCTGTTTAAAGGAAAAAAAATGAACGTGGATCACTCTCAAAAACAGCTTCTTAATGCCCTTGTGTCTAAAAATCACAGTAAATTCTTCACGAGATAAACTGAGATTCTCACCCTTCCCTTTTTGCAGAACTGAAATTCTTAGGAAAATGGCACTTTCGGGCACCAACAGCCAAGGCTGTATTTTGCAGAACTGACAATTCCTGTGTTTCCTGCTTCCCTTAAGAATCAAGTGTAAAAACCTCAGGTGCCTATTAAAAAACCAGTGTGCCCAGGTCACCAGCCCAGGAATGCAGTTTATAAAAACTGTGTGAAAATAGGTGGCATTTTCCTTCCAGCATTTTCCAGTTCTCATGTGAGGGTGATCTTTTGCAGAAAGTCAAGCCACAGCACGTTCACGTGCCTCTGCTCCCCACAGCGAATAATCCCAAAGCTCATGCTGGGCGTTCCAGGAAACGCAGCATTTGTCTGTAGCCCTTGTGAGTCAAAGGCCAGTCAGTCAGGAGAGGGCGAACGTGGGGAGGTGACTGCTCACTCGGTGGCTAACCTCTGAACAGATTTCTTTGCTCATCACCTTGAGAACAAAGCAAGAGCCCTTTGGAGCTGATAGGATTGTGGCTGCATTTCAGGGGCAGGATGGTTACGGTTGGTCCAGTGGACGGAGAGACGAAATCTGTCTGGAAAGGGGTTTAATTTGCCTTCTCTTCTGTCCACATTGCAGATGGCGCGGACTGATGAGATAATGCACGAGATTGTTGGTTTTCTGGATCAGACCTTGTACAGATGGGATCATCTTGGCGTGGATGCCCCGGGGTCGAGAAAACTGGCCAGAGAGCTCCTCGCAGAGCTGCGGGGGCAAGCCTAGCGCAGGCTGGTTAGCCAGTGAGCTGCCACGCCACGGGCTGGTGTGGCCGCTTCTTGGCCCCAAGTTTACAGACTGGGTACTTCTTGTGAGTTGTGAGGGTGCGCCATAAACATCTGGCCAGCTCTGGTGGCGCGTATTTTACAAGATGAGAAGACAGGTGCTGCAGCCCGAATTCAGTCAGATTTACTGACTCATGGCTGGATTATGGTTTCAAAGCTCCCTGTGCCTGGTCAGCCTGGATGTCAATCACTAAAGAAAAGGCTTAGATGGGAGAACAGATTTTTCTTTCCTTTTTTTTTTTCTCCACAGCAAACCAAGATGCACAACTATATTATTTGGATGTTTCAAAGTCTTCAGACCAAGAAATTGGTCATGAATCACTGATCAATTTAGAAAGTAACTTAGCCCTTTTCTACAGATCTTTTTTTTTAAGTCAGATAATTGTTACAGGTGCTTCTTTCGGTCCACAGGGATTTGAGATAAAGCCACTCTCTCTTGCTCCCCTAAGACATTCTTCATCCAGGAGAGTCAGGAGCCCCCAGGTTTCCTTTGGGCGCCCTCTGAGCAGGCCCAGGGG